AAAAAACTAGCCGGGCGAGGTGGCAGGCGCCTGTAGTCCCAGCTACTCGGGAGGCTGAGGCAGGAGAATGGCGTGAACCTGGGAGGCGGAGTTTGCAGTGAGCTGAGATCCGGACACTGTACTCCAGCCTGGGCGACAGAGCGAGACTCTGTCTCAAAACAAAAAAAAAGAGACAAGGAGTTCCAAAGCAAGGAGAAGTGACTTCACTCACAAAGCAAGGAAGTATAAAAGCTGAGTTCCAAACCCTGGCTTTAAAGCCCACTTATCCCTCCTGTCCTCTGCCTTACACCAGAGTATGAGCTGAAGTACAGTAAGACTCTCCTCTGGGAAAGGCTGACCCTGGGACCAAAGCCAAGACACAAAGCCTTCAGGCTGCCCAAGCTCCACAATTCCTACCAACAGAGCCGACCACTGCCCTCAGCTTCACAGCTCCCAGCAGCTTCAGATGATCTTCCTGGAACACACCCTGGCGAGAAGTCGAAAGTAGCATTTAATAACTGACTCAAGCAATGATGGTGTGGACCGTTTCCGATACTTCTGATCAGTGAGAAACAAGTGTCTTTGATGACAATACATTTTAAAACCCTTCCCTGAAGTTGGCTAATGTCTAACAGAGGGCAGATTTGGGGCCAGAGATTTTTGGAATGTAATGGTGTAGGGATAGCATTTAGTTAGTATCATTTCAATGTCTTTTGTTTCCTTTCTTTTTTGGGGGCTAGAGGGGAGACAGGGTCTCACTCTGTGGCCCAGGATGAAGTGCAGCGGCATGACCAAGCTCACTGCAGCCTCAAACTCCTGGGCTTAAGGGATCCTCTCACCTCAGCATCATAAGTAGCTGGGACCACAGGCACGCGCCGTCTCACCTGGCTTTTTAAATTATTATTTATTTATTTATTGAGATGGAGTTTTGATCTTGTTGCCCAGGCTGGAGTGCAATGGCATGATCTCAGCTCACTCCCGAGTAGCTGGGATTACAGGCGCCTGCCACCATGCCAATTTTTTGTATTTTTAATAGACACAGGGTTTCACCATGTTGGCCAGACTGGTCTTGAACTCTTAACTTCAGGTGATCCATCTGCCTCAGCCTCCCAAAGTGCTGGGATTACAGATATGAGCCACAGATAATGTGTAAAAATACACAGATATATATTTTTAGTACAGATGAGGTCTTGCTATGTTATCCAGGCCATGTCTTTTGCTTTCATTGCATTTTTTTATATATTTTTCTTTTTTCTTTTTTTTTTGAGATGGAGTTTTGCTCTTGTTGCCCAGGCTGGAGTGCAATGGCATGATCTCGGCTCACTGCAACCTTCCAGGTTCAAGCAATTCTCCTGCCTCAGCCTCCTGAGTGGCTAGAATTACAGGCATGTGCCACCACGCCCGGCTAATTTTGTGCTTTTAGTAGAGACGGGGTTTCTCCACGTTGGTCAGGCTGGTCTCGAACTCCCGACCTCAGGTGATCTGACCACCTCGGCCTCCCAAAGTGCTGGGCATGAGCCACTGCACCCAGCCTACATATGTATTTCTATATCCAATTATTATTTATGGCAAGTGATAGCAGTATTTAACAATTTCTGAGAAGAATTATCAGGATCAAAGATAGTCCACAAGTTTGAGGATTAAGTGACAGTTGGGAGTTACAGTTTGAATCTTGGTTCTGCCACAGCCTTGGAAAAATAAATTTTCTGAACCTCAGCTTTTCCTCTGTAATGCAAAGTGAGATGCTGACTTAAATTAATACCTGTTGGACCCACTCATTATGAATGCAAGGGTCAAATGCCAAAACTTGAAAGTAGCAAACACACAAAAACAAGTATCATAACAAAGATAGTTGTTTTATCACCTGGCTTTATTAACTTGCCACAGGCCACTGAGGTACTGAGGTAGCATCACTCCCTTAATACTTCAGTTTTATGTTATTTCTTTTTTTTTTTTTTTGTGAAGGAGTCACACTCGGTTGCCTAGACTGGAATGCAGTGGCGTGATCTTGGCTCACTGTAACCTCTGCCTCCCAGGTTCAAGTTTCTCCTGCCTCAGCCTCCCGAGTAGCTGGGATTACAGGCACGCGCCACCATGCCCAGCTAATTTTTGTTAGACGGGGTTTCACCATGTTGGCCAGGATGGTCTCGAGTTCTTGACCTTGTGATCCACCTGTCTCGGCCTCCCAAAGTGTTGGGATCACAGGCGTGGGCCACCGAACCCAGCCTTATTTTTTCTTTATTAATTTTTTTTGAGACAGGGGCTTGCTCTGTTACCCAGGCTGGAGTGCAGTGGTGCAATCTCAGCTCATTGCGGCCTGAAACTCCCAGGCTCAAGCAATTCTTCCACAGCCTCCTGAGTAGTTGTTAGTACAGGTGTGTACCACCATACCCAGCTAATTTGCGTGTATTTTGTAGAGACAGGGTTTCACCATGTCGCCTAGGCTGGTCTCAAAATTTCTGGACTCAAGCGATCATCCCACTTCAGCCTCCCAAAGTGTTGGAGTTACAGGCATGAGCCATGCGCCAGCCATAAATTACACTTAAAGAAAAGAAAAGAAAAGTATTGGCTCAGTGCAGTGGCTCACGCCTGTAATTCCAGCACTTTGGGAGGCCGAGCTGGGAGGATCACTCGAGGTCAGGAGTTTGAGACCAGCCTGGCCAACATGGTGAAACCCCATCTCTACTAAAAATACAAAAATTAGCTGGGCATCATGGCACATGCCTGTAATCCGAGCTACCCAGGAGGCTGAGGCAAGAGAATAGCTTGAACCCAGGAGGCAGAGGTTGCAGTGAGCCGAAATCGTGCCACTGCACTCTAGCCTGGGTGTCAGACTGAGACTCTGTCTCAACAACAACAAAAATACAATTTACCATAACCTAGCTAAGTACCAGCTGTGTACACTAACTTATTTCTTTTCACAGAATCCTGTGTTTCAGGGTTACTGAAGTACAACATAACCGGAATCTATGATTCCATATAGATTTCCAGACCAGAAAATGCTTTATCCTTCCAAGCCACCTCCAGTAACTTATAATACTCATCTGGTAAAACCAGGTTGTTTTTGCAAGAAACTTCCCTGTAACATCCCAATAGTCACGACACTGTAAATTCCCCGGTTTTGTATTTTTAATAGGGATGAGGGTCGGGCATGGTGGCTTACGTCTGTAATCCCAGCACTTTGGGAGGCCGAGGTGGGCAGATCACCTGAGGTCAGGAGTTTGAGACCAGCCTGACCATTGTGATGAAATCCCATCTCTACTAAAAAATACGAAAATTAGCCAGGCATGGTGGCATGAGCCTGTAATCCCAGCTACTCAGGAGGCTGAGACAGGAGAATTGCTTGAACCCAGGAAGCGGTGGTTGGGGTGAGCCGAGATCGTGCCATTGCACTCTAGCCTGGGTAACAAGAGCAAAACTCTGTCTCCAAAAAACCAGTCTCTATTATTTTTCCAATTTTCTTTAAGACTATATTTAAAAATAAAAACTTTAAAAAAACGAAAATGTTATTTTTTTTTTTGAGACGGAGTCTCACTCTTGTCACCCAGGCTGGAGTGCAGTGGTGCAATCTCGGCTCACTGCAAGCTCTACCTCCCAGATTCATGCCATTCTCCTGCCTCAGCCTCCTGAGTAGCTGCGACTACAGGCGCCCACCACCATGCCCGGCTAATTTTTTGAATTTTTAGTAGAGACGGGGTTTCACCATGCTAGCCAGGATGGTCTCGATCTCCTGATGTCGTGATTCACCTGCCTCGGCCTCCCAAAGTGCTGGGATTACAGGCTTGAGCCACCTTGCCCAGCCACTTATTTTACTTTTTGAGACAAAGAGTTTCACTCTGTTGTCCAGGCTGGAGTGCAGTGGCACCATCATGGCTCAATGCAGCATGGAACTCCCAGGCTCAAGTGATCCTCCCACCTCAGCCTTCCAACTAGCTGGGACTACAGACATGGTCCACTATGTCTGGCTAATTTTTCTATGTATATATATTTTCAATTCTCATTCAACACCTTTGGTAAATTTCTGTATTTTTTGTAGAGACGGGGTTTCACCATATTGCCCAGGCTGGTGTTGAACTCCTAGGCTCAAGTGATTCGCCTGCTTTACCCTTCCAAATATTTTAGTTTTTGAGAAAGGTCTCACTATGTTGCCTAAACTGGTCTTGAACTCCTGATCTCAAGCAATCCTCCTACCTCAGCCTCCCAAAGAGCTGGGAATGGCAAAAATGTTACTTATCAAAATGAAAGGCCGGGTGTGGTGGTTCACTCCTATAATCCCAGCACTTTGGGAGTGCGAGGCAGGCGGATCACCTGAGGTCAGGAGTTCAAGACCAGCCTGGCCAACACAGTGAAACCCCATCTCTACTAAAAATACAATTTGCCGGGCATGTGAGCACATGCCTGTAATCCCAGTTACTCCAGAGGCTGAGGCAGGAGAATCGCTTGAACCTGGGAGGCAGAGGTTGCAGTGAGCCGAGATGGCGCCACTGCACTCCAGCCGGGGAGACAGAGCAAGACCCTGTCTCAAAAAAACAAAAACAAACAAAAAAAAAGGAAAACAAAACAAAACGAAAGAGAACAGATCACAGAATAAAAACATTTCAGCTCAAATTTTATTTAGTTAATTATTATTCTTTTTTGTAGCGTCGGAGTCTTGCTATGTTACTCGGGCTGGCCTCAAGCGATCCTCTTGCCTCAATTTGGAAAATGCTGGGATTACAGACGTGCATCACCACGCCAAGCCACAACCCAAACTTTAAAAAGAGAATCTAAGTGGTCTTAGAAGAGTTTGTAAGTCACCTGACCACTGTGGTACCTCCTTAAGGAGGGCCTCTGAGGCCCAATGAAAAAGGCTTATATAAAAGGCTCATGACCAGCTCTGCCAGTGATGAACATGTGTCAAGTCGTTCTGCTGTCCCAACTCCTGGACCAAGGTGGCTCGGCATTAGCTTCAGCTAATAAAGAACAAAGACGGGGGGCAGAAAGGCTCCCCAAACTTGCGCAAATCCAGTGAGAAAACACTTTGCACATCATCTGTCTCAGTTGTTCTGCAGGTGAGGCACACTCACAGCTGCTCTACCCCAGGCAAGCAGTTTGCCAGGACTCGGGGGCCTCAGGGTTTCATCTCGGGGCCTCCGCCTGCACCAGCGAGTGGGCCTGGCTCAGGGCGAGCCTGTCCTTTTTTTCCTTCTGCAAGACCTGCTCCTCCCACAGCGCCTGGTCCACCTGATCGTCGGTGAGCACGACAGGCTTGTACTTCTCATCGAAGAGCCGCTCGTTGGTCTCGGAATGCAGCTGCTGGGGCCCGACCACCCGCAAATGCGCCGGCAGGTGCAGGAATTCGTCGTCGTTGATGTCGCAGTCGCGCATCCGGGCCCCCAGCACCCACCAGCGACCCACGAAGCCCACGTCCAGGACCCGGCCGGGGAAGTCGCTCCAGCGGGGTTGCAGGTAGCGGCAGCGCGCCTGGTAGAGGCTGGCCTGGGCGTCGAAGGGCGCCTCGTACACCAGGGAGCAGAGCCCTAGGTTGACGTGGCGCAGGCGGCCACGGCCCCGCAGCCAGAGCAGCCGCTGCACGAAGGCTTCGGACTCGCGGTTGCGGGTGGCCGGCGCCAGCAGCAGGAGGGTCCCCGACGCCTCCAGCAGCGCCTCCTCGAAAGCACCCTCGCTCGGCGCCAGCGTGAAGCAGGCCGCCGCGCCGCCCAGCAGCCCCACATACACGGCCGCGCGCCCCGGCCGGGCACTAGCCTCCGCCGCCGCGTCCCTGCAGGCCTCGGCGTAGTCCCGGAGCAGCGCGCGGGCCCAGGACCCTGAGGGGAGAGGAGCGCGGTAAGAGTGATCCGGCAGCGGCGGCCACCCACCCTACCGCCTTCCGCCGCTACTCACCCAGCCGCGCCCACACTCCCGGCTTCGCCGCTGCAGCGTCGCCCGCCTCTGCGCGGCGCCGGGACCAAAATCTCCTCAGAGCCGCCGCGGCCATCCTCTTCCGTCTTGGGGGTCCTTGCTCCGGAAAGAAACTTTCGATACCCGAAGTTAAAAGCCCGGGAGGCTCTTCTGCGCAAGCGCCAACTTTACCGGAAGTGGCTTCCCAACGGGAAAGGATAGAAAGAGGACCGGCGCCGGATGTTGCTGTCCGGTCCGAGTCGGGTAGACTCTGACGGGTAGGCCAGCTGCGCAATCGCAGAGAGCCCCAGCCACGCCGGCCCAGGTGGCCTCCGGTGAGGAGGGCGGAGCGCACCTGTGGCGACGGGGCGACGAGTTCAAGCCTCCGTGGGTGCAGCTGGCCGCCAGGTAGGGCTGGGGGCCAAGGGACCGGCGTGGGGGCGTGGGGGGAGCGTGCCTGACCGGTCTCTGTCCTCAGCGAGGGATGCGGAGACGCCCCTGAACGACCATGGCATCGGCTGACGAGCTGACCTTCCACGGTGAGTGCGGCCCCGACGAGGCCGGATCTCCTACTCCCGTCCCTTGCCAGAACCTCCCCGCCATGCGGCTTCCAACTTCTCTACCCCAACCCTAGGCGGTTGTGAACCCTGACCCAGGAGTGAGACCCATCCCTGACCCGAACCCCGCCCCCGCCCTGAACTCAGACCTCAAACCCGAGCCTCATGTCTCCAGACCCTGACCCCATCCCAGGGCCAACCCTAAGTTGCAGTTCCACTTTAGGAGGAAGGGAACAGACGCCCTCCGGATGCCTCCAAACTGAGGGAGTTGGGCCCCACCTTGGGGGAGATCAATGGCTCAGCAGAGCCTCCGCCCCCAGATGAGCATTGACTTGGCTGGAGCCCAGTCGAATTCTTTCCACCCCTCAAGCGTGCGTGTGTCCCATGTCCCTGCTCCACAGAATTCGAGGAGGCCACTAATCTTCTGGCTGAGACCCCAGATGCAGCCACAACCAGCAGAAGTGATCAGCTGACCCCACAAGGGCACGTGGCTGTGGCCGTGGGCTCAGGTGGCAGCTATGGAGCCGAGGATGAGGTGGAGGAGGAGAGTGACAAGGCCGCGGTGAGTCCCTGTGTCCTGCCTCTGTGCAGCTCCCGGCTGATCCACGCTGTCGGGGCAGGCGCTGAATGCCCGCAATGTGCAGCTCCTGCAGGAGAAGCAGCAGCAGCAGCAGCCCGGATTCTGGACCTTCAGCTACTATCAGAGCTTCTTTGACGTGGACACCTCACAGGTCAGGCCTGGGGAGGCAGGTGAGGTGGGGCTCAGAGTTACGCTCAGGGTTCAGCCACACTTTCCCTGGGCAGGGTGCTGGTGATGGCGAGTGCGGGTGAAGGAACTGTGGTGCTCTCAAAGGGTTATGGATCGGGACTGTAGGAACACAGGGGACACACACAATCTCGTGGGTTAGAGGAAGACCTCGTGGAGGACGTGAGGAATTGGCTGAAACCTAAAGGAGAAGGAACGCTTCCTGGGGAATGGGGGAGGGGAGCTGAAGTATGTTCCAGGCAAAGGGAACAGCATATGCAGAAGATCAAAGATGGGCTGGGGGCAGTAGGTCCCCGCCTGTAATTCCAGCACTTCAGGGGACCGAGGTGGGCAGATCACCTGAGCGCAGGAGTTCAAGACCAGGCTGGCTAACATGGTGAAACCCCATCTCTACTAAAAATACAACAAAATCAGCCAGGCTTGGTGGCGAGGCCCTGTAATCTTAGCTACTCTGGAGGCTGAGGCAGGAGAATCGCTTGAACCTGCAAGGCAGAGGTTGCAGTGAGCCGAGATCACGCCAGTGCACTCCAGTCTGGGCAAAAAGAGTGAGACTCTGTCTCAAAATAAATAAATAAATAAAATAAAAATACAAAAATTAGACTGGGCGTGGTGGCTCATACCTGTAATCCCAGCACTTTGAGAGGCCAAGGCAGGCAGATCACGAGGTCAAGAGATCGAGACCATCCTAGCTAACACGGTGAAACCCCATCTCTACTAAAAATACAAACAAATTAGGGCGTGGGTGCAGGCGCCTGTAGTCCCAGCTACTTGGGAGGCTGAGGCAGGAGAATGGCGTGAACTCGGGAGGCGGAGCTTGCAGTGAGCCAAGATGGCGCCACTGCACTCCAGCCTGGGCGACAGAGTGAGACTCTGTCTCAAAAAACCAAAAGAAAACAAAACAAAAATACTAAAATTAGCCAGGTGCAGTGGTTGGGCACCTGTAATCCTAGCACTTTGGGATGCCGAAGTGGTGGATCACTTGAGGTCAGGAGTTGGAGACCAGCCTGGCCAACATGGTGAAACCCCATCTCTACTAAAAATACAAAAATTAGCCAGGCATGGTGGCGCATGGCCTGTAGTCCCAGCTACTCAGGAGGCTGAGGCATGAGAATCGCTTGAATCTGGGAGGCGGAGGTGGCAGTGAGCCAAGATCATGCCACCGCATTCCAGCTGGGAGGACAGAGTGACACTCCATCTCAAAAAGAAAAAGGGGGGTGGGGCTGGGCGCAGTGGCTCACGCCTGTAATCCCAGCACTTTGGGAGGCTGAGGTGGACATATTACCTGAGGTCAGGAGTTTGAGACCAGCCTGGTCAACGTGGCAAAACCCTGTCTCTACTAAAAATACAAAAATTAGTCGGGCGTGGTGGCACACGCCTGTAATTCCAGCTACCCAGGTGGCTGAGCCAGGAGAGTTGCTTGAGCCCAGGAGGCAGAGGTTGCAGTGAGCAGAGATCGTGTCACTGCACTCTATCCAGCCTGGCCGACAGAGTGAGACTCTGTCTAGAAAAAGAAAAAAAAGAGGGAAAGGCTGAGTTCTTTCAGGTGGGGCATGGAGACAGGAGGGTGGAGGTCAGCAGGGAAGGAGCCTCTCAGGACAAGGGAGAAGCTCCTGGCAGGCCTCCATCCTTGACCTCGGCCTTGCCCCCAGGTCCTGAACCGGATCAAAGGCTCACTGCTGCCCCGGCCTGGCCACAACTTTGTGCGGCACCATCTGCGGAATCGGCCGGATCTGTATGGTGAGTGAGGTACATTTGGTTCCTTGATGGATCACTCAACAAATGTGGCCTGAGTTGCAGACACCAGTGTACAGCTGAGGACAAATCAGTCACTCAGAGAGTGTGACTTACCTGCTGTTCAGGGAGACAGACATGAAGGACTGCAGAGGGTGGCGGGTAGAGAGCATATAGGAGGAGCGGCCTTGCTGTTTTGCAGGGTGCAGCAGGGCAGGCCTCCCTGAGCAGGGTGAGGGAATGAGCCTTGTTGGCAACGGGAGGGGTAGGGGAGACCTAGGAAAAGAGGGTTCCAGAAACAGCATAAGCTTCATGGCAGGGCCTTGCATGAACTGCAGGGCGGCATTACCACTGGAGTAAATGAGCTGCAGGGAGGTCACAGGTAGGGGGACTCTGACTGTGCCCCCCATCCTCAGGCCCCTTCTGGATCTGTGCCACGTTGGCCTTCGTCTTGGCTGTCACTGGCAACCTGACGCTGGTGCTGGCCCAGAGGAGAGACCCCTCCATCCACTACAGCCCCCAGTTCCACAAGGGTAAGCAGGCGGGCAGGACCGATGCCTGGCAGGGCCCCGGGGGGCAGGGGGTGACTGCTCACCTTGCCCCCAGTGACCGTGGCAGGCATCAGCATCTACTGCTACGCGTGGCTGGTGCCCCTGGCCCTGTGGGGTTTTCTGCGGTGGCGCAAGGGTGTCCGGGAGCGCATGGGGCCCTACACCTTCCTGGAGACCGTGTGCGTCTACGGCTACTCCCTCTTTGTCTTCATCCCCATGGTGGTGAGTGTGGCCTGGCGCGGAGTGGGTGGTGGCTGTGTAGGGACACTGGCATGGTCACCTGCTGCCTCATTCCCATGGTGGTGAGGGTGGCCTGGTGCAGAGTGGGTGGTGGCTGTGGGGACTGGCATGGTCACCTGCCGCCGTGTTGCTCCCAGGTCCTGTGGCTCATCCCTGTGCCTTGGCTGCAGTGGCTCTTTGGGGCACTGGCCCTGGGCCTGTCGGCCACCGGGCTGGTATTCACCCTCTGGCCTGTGGTCCGTGAGGACACTAGGCTGGTGGCCATGGTGCTGCTGTCTGCGGTTGTGCTGCTCCATGCACTCCTGGCCGTGGGCTGTAAGGTACAGGTCTGGGGTGGCCACAGGTGTACCTCAGGTGGGGCTGAGGGGCTGGGGGGGGGGTGTGCGCTGGCCCTGCCTCTGACCCCAGGGGTCTTGTGCAGTTGTACTTCTTCCAGTCGCTGCCTCCGGAGAAGGTGGCTCCTCCACCCCAAATCACATCTCTGCCCTCAAACATCCTGCTGCCCCCTACCCTGCCTCAGACCATGGCCCCCTCCTAGAAAGGCCTGGGTCCCACAGGTAAAGACTGTTCCCAGCTGGGCTAAGGGGGCTGCCCTCCCACCCCCAGTCAAGGTAAGAGGTTCTGGGGACACTGCCAGACAATTCTTTCTTTCAGGCAACAGCTAAGTGGACCAACTCCTCTGCCTGTCCTGCCCCCCAGATGATGACTGAAGGCTCCGTTGACACCTTGAGATGACTCTGCTACTTTCCAGACTTTTCTTACAAAGCAAACACTTTTATTTTCTATGCAAAGGTGATTCAGAGAATTTATATAAAGGCGGGAGAGGGGCAGCCGAGCAGGGAGCTTTGGGACAGGGCTGGGGCCCCCATATCCCCCTGGGCCACCTGCTTTCCCTCCCATGGCTCCCCTGGAACAGGAGAGCGAGCCAAGGGGGCGCCCCAGCCTGGACAGCACCCGCTCCTGCCTGGGTGCACACATGGCGGGCCTGGGTCCGGGCCTGAGCTCCAGCATCTGAGTTTGGGGGTGTCAGAAACAGGGGAGCAGAAGGAGAAGAAAACTGCCTGTGCTGTAACACGTTTCCTTGTTTATTTTTTCTTTCTTTTTCTTTTTTTTTTTTTTTCTGGAGGGAGAGGTCCCTGCAAGGTCCCTTCCCAGGCAGGGGAGGGACAGAAATGCCGTCACAGTAGTAGGGACTGGAGCGTCTACAAGGATGGAGGGGAGCTACTCAGGCCTAACATTAGCTACAAGGAAAAAGGACGCCTTCCGTGACAGATCTTTGAGGTGTCTGTGTCTGCCCCAAGTGGCCGGCAGTGGCCTTCCCTCCGGGCCCAAGGCC